AAACTGACTCTTATAATCATAATTATAATTATAATAATGATAATAATAAAAAAAATGTCGGCGAGTAGTGCAGGTCGAGTGTGTTTCTGACCTCTGTCAAAAAGTATCGAAAGCAAGCCTACTCTAGAGCTTAATCGGATAGCCTTTTAAAGTGCATGCTTAGCAACTGGATTCGGTGAACAGCTAAACAGTTTGTTGTCTCTGGAAAAGACAAGACCTGATTAATCTTTTCATTTGAGCCGGCTTTGGGTAAATATGTCGACATAACGACGCCCTCAAGATCCTGTTCTTTGAAGTTCTCAGATATCTAGACCAGGTGACAACGGTGGTTCCTAAATACTCGCAAGTTCAGCCTAAGACGATAAATGACAATAGGCGGGCAGTTGCTTATTCGGAAATCCCACTTTATGCTGACACTAGCATGTCAATACTAACAGAATTGATGCCACCATTATCGACAAGGAGGAGAAGAAAATCTCAGTCATCGATATGAGCTGTCCTTGGATCGAGAACAGGGAAGCAAATGATTCCGAGAAGACGACTAAGTACGGTCCACTCCGCTGGGAGTTGAAGCAGAGATACCAAAAACACCCATGATGAAGCAATTTTGGCACCGAAAAGGGGCCAAAATTTTGACCCAGAAGTGGCTCCCTTGAAACGGGGCCATTTTAGCTAATTGAATGGAGCCAATTTATGTGGTAGCCATTATGGCCACCCAAAAGGGGCTAAACTTTTGACGCAGATATCGAATGGCTCCGTTTGAATGGGGCCACTTTGCCTAATTTAAAATGGAGCCATTATATTATGGCCCCTAAAGGGGGCTGAAATTTTGACCCAGATTTGGCTCATTAAATGGAGCCAAAGCATTATGGCCCCATAAAAGGGGCTAAAAGTTTGACCCAGATATGGCTCCCTTAAATGGACAATTGATGTGGAGGCCTGTCGTTCTTCTTTTAATTTTGAAGAACCTTGTTAAAAAAAGTCAGAACATTTTATTTAACACAACATGTTTTGGCACAATAAACATATGTTACATTTGTTTGATAATAAATCTTTAAATATAAATATTTCACAGGATCAAAAGTATATATCATTGAAAATGAAATTGCCACCAACGACAGTAGCAAAAATGTTTACATGTAGCAAGTGAATATTCTCTTGCATGTAATTAAAGATGGAGAAATATTTTTGCTTGATTGATGGATTGAATGAAGACATTATTTAATGAGGGTAACACGTGACAGTAATTTTGGCAGCTGATTAACTTGTGGCCCTCTTGTTTTTAGCACGGGCGCTGAAGATGGTCGTCACCAGAGTCTTCAGTGGATCTTTTACGTCCGCCTTATGCAGGGTTATATAGTGAAGACAGACGGGGCCTACGGTTTTACTTCCTTGTCCGAGAAGACTTGAAGGTCTAACCATTTGCTGATATAATTACAAAGGCAGCACCTTCTCATCAGTTATTTTAAGATCCTGAGTGTTGGTCCGGGCGAGGCTTGAACCACGACATTCCGCACAACAGACCGACGACCGACTTTCTTTCAATAAATTTAAGCTAACATTTCTGTAGATAATTTTACAGGACACGAGAATATTTGTTTAGTTATGTGATTCAATATCATTGGTTAAATTCATTTCTTTAGTCTCTTTGTTTCATTGTTTTCTCATTGTTTCCTGGCTTATCAGATTTTTTCCCGTCTCATTTAACATTTAAATTAGTAGCATAAGATCACCGTCCTGAACCTAGTTTTTCTAGTCAGTCCTTGTCAAGTTTGTAGCAGTTTGTTTTGTAAGTATTTTGTCGTTCTTTCGGTTTCTTTATCCGTTCACTTGATCTAGTCTGATCAATTAACTGTCTTATGCTGCTTTGTTAAAGAAACCATGTCGTATTAAAACTCCTGGTTAAAGCTAAAATACTACCAGCCTTTATGGTTTGCGATTACAGTTATTATGATCAAGCAAATGGTGAGTAAAATGTCTTACTATACTAGTCGTTCTTTTCATTATCATTATTTATTTTTGTATAAGAAAAAAGTAATATCGGTCATAACATTTTTAAAGCGTGCCGTTGAACACACTCTCTATGAGAGAATACAAGAGAGTATGACTGAATACTTCATATTATTTTCTTAAATGAGAATTGATTTCCTAACACACGCAGAGCTATAGCTGTTTTGTTAAAAAGGCTATGTAGAGTCGATATGGGACAAAAACGACTGTGAATATCTCCTAAAATAGTACTAGTGAACGCCTTATTTAATTTCGGCATAAACAGCTTGAAAAATTCGAAACATAACTAATATGAATGGAATAACTACATAAGTGAACACATGCTTTTCTATCCTTCTTTTTTCCCCTTCTTTTTTAATTCTTTTGCTAAGTACAATAAGTTGAAGTGAATGACAACAAAAACAAAACAAAGTGTATTGATACTGCCCAGTATGTCTTTTCTGTGGTTTTCTGGATAGATTTTACATTATATAAAATCTCCCACTGACACAAAGATTATTATTTATATAAACCTTTTATAAAAACCTTTTGGCTTTCCTTCCTTTTCTTCTGCGGCGGCTTTATTTTTCATAACAATAGTTTTTTAAACCCATAATTGTATATTTTAGTTGTTTTTAACTCTGATCTGAATAAGCTACCAGATGCCAGAGCAGAGCAGCTGAATGCATGAATATAAGGTGAAAATTTTTCGTCATCCAAGTCCCAAGTACAGCGAAACTTTTCAATGACCAGTACTTCGTCCAAACGTTTACCGCAGTAAAAGGATTACTTTTCAAGTAAGTATACTGTCTTTATTCTTAGAACCTGTGAAAGACCATATATAGCTACATAAAGTATATTTATTTAATATATTTAATATATTTATATTTCTTAATTTTGAAAAATTACACTGGTAGATCTGAAAATTTAATCTATAGATTTCAAATTATTGTTGCTTTAGTTTATCAAGATGGTTTGGATAAGGCGCAAGTGATATTGAATCACTTTTTTTACTATTTCCATAAAGAATATTTCAATACCATCAACTATGAGATATTCGGTCCCCTCATTCAGTTCAATTCCTCAGGATCAACTTTCCCTACTTTCAGAACTTTAAGTGATATTTAAGAAACTTGATTATTATTCTCAAAGAAAATTTATTGCAATCTTTGAGAGTTTTACGTTCCGTAAATTTTAATTGCTCTAAACGTGATGTATGGCATTTTGTTGGAGCAAAAACCTACAAAAATCTATATATACCTGCAGATAATTTTCAATACATGAGAACGAAGGAAATCCAAAAAAAAACTGTACTTCTCAGGATATTTTTATTTATTGAAAGTGCAGTTATTCGAAAGTTATAAGAGATCGGAGAAAAAAGAATGTAGAGAAAAGGAATAAGGGAGGAATTAAGGAGCCAAGAAGCGAAAGAACCAGGAAATGAACGAACCGATGCTAGTTTTTTACCATTTCTCCTGTTTTCCTTTTCCTTTGTTCTTTCTTTCTTTTCTTTTCTTTCTTTCTTTTTTTTTT